GACGTTTGAATGTAGTTAACGGTGGAATTCTGTAGTTGAACTGAAACACGTAATGGATCCTAATAAACGCTGAGAGTTTATTCAAAGATTGTAGGGCAGACGGACTGTCAAACTAACGGACACTTACAAACGATGAATAAAATACGATTATTGACTCCAGCCACAAACCTGCATAAAAGAACGAATCAAATATTTATTTTACACATACACACATACTATGCCAGCGTGTTACAAGCGGCATTCCACAGGTAGTTGTTGTAACCATGGAATCTAAGGTAATCTGGGGATTTCTTACGCAGAAAATTTTGTGCGGAATAAGGCATTCAAATCATTATGTAATTTTCACGTTGTTATTGTAAGGTTTTAACCAGAATAGGAATGTGTCAACAGATTCTGTTAAAGCCCATCAGTATTAAATTCAATGAACATCCATTTAGACGTTCTCGAGCTGGAACTGCGGACAGACAGACCGGCTTACACGTGACGAAGGAAAAGGCTCACGATTTGCATTAATTACGTACTTACGAACATGTGTGAAAAGGGAATTTAAAATGCGGGTTTTTTTTCCCATAAACATCCAAGATTTCAGGGGCATACTGACCTCCTCCTTGAAAAACTTTGCGTCAAGTAATCCCAGTCTTACGCCCTTCAAAAGGCCCACGATGTGGCCTTTCCTGTTGTCCACGTCATGGTTAATCCACCGGAGAACGCACTCCCACACAACTTTCTCGTTCTTCACGTTAAGTTCCTCGGACTCGATTATCGATTGCAGCTCCTCTACAGGCATTTCCACCAGTTCTTCGCTCTGCTGAGACACTTTCACGAAGTTGTCCAGAACGAAGCGGCGAGTGTGAGCGAAGCGACGAGTGTGAGTCTCAAGGTCGGTGCAGAAGTGACGGAGTGTAACCTGTGACAGCGAGGGTAAAACCCGACTCAGAATCGATCTCCTTCGGACTTTGACACATTGAAACACTGCAGCAAGAACTGAATTCTCAAACATTTGCACACTACGGTATTTCGCCTGGAGTTTTATCTCAGCCCTTTGAAGCTAGATTGAGTGAGACTGAGAAGAGACAAATGGAGAGGCAAGAGCGAGAGACGCTTCGTTTAACCGTGGCAATATAGAGACTTTTCGGCTATGAAGGTTCCCAGGCAATGTCCGCTCGTCTTCGTGATAAAGTTTAAGGTTTAAAAAAAGGCATGGCGTACGCAAGTGAAGAAGGCAGTGAATTCAGAAGTGTAAAATTTTGAATTCTGGCATTAACCTTCGCGATACGACGTTGTGTTAACTGTGTGTGTTAATCCAGTGAAACCTCGTTTAACCGGATTATATGGGGGGACCATCGGTCGGATAAGCCGATAAGTCGAATGAGCGAGGTAGAGGGGAACGTGGTCATGGATTTGAACAAATAAGTAGATACCCAATACAGATTTTCCTCGGATGATGCATTCGTTTCGCACGCACAAGCCGACTGCAAAAATTACTCGTGGGTGCTGTTCGAGGAAGTCCCTGTACCACGTGGACATCGCTTTAAACACTCTCGCCGGTGGAAACCGATCGCAACCGATCTGGTTGAAATTCGGTCGCTTAATGCGAGAATCGGATAATCGAGGGTCGGTTAACAGAGGTTTTACTTTGTGCAGAAACATTTAAATTGCATAGACATTAATAACAACCTGCCAACGCATTGTAATTTGCCCGTAAGTCAGAGGTTTTAATCTCCGACCCGGCAATCGGCTGCTCTCTTGATCAAAGCTGGCGTCACAGCAAATGACAAATGAACATCTATTACCTTGCGAACTGCATGATTCCGATACAGTTGTCGGGGTTTATCTGGACCTTGATGAAGTCGCAGCAGAGTTTAGGAACGTCCGGAATACATAAGTAATCAGCCGTCACGAGGAGCCGACAAGCGTTGTCGCTGTTGATGTCCACCTTTCGCAGATAAACATAATCCAGTATCTGGGTCATCACGTCAGAGCTAATTCCGTGGAGGAGGATATCAGTCTTCTCATCGGTGTGCAGTGTTGTCGTGAAGAGTGTCCTGAAACGTCGATTTGGAGAAACGGCGAGCAGAAAATTACAAGTCATTCGCATAAACTTTAAGTTTTTATGACTCACGTAGCCAAATAAATTATCCTTTCTTCAATTTGGTGGATGAATTTTTGTTACCAGAATACTTCAAAAACTCCCAGAATGTTTACTATTGGGACAAGATTGATCAGTTCGTAATATGAAATCCATTTGTTCTGTCAAAATATTTTCCCGAAAATAAACAACTTAAAAGGAAAGCCGATGTTTCTACGCGGCCTTTAAGAATTGATCACTAACCAGCAAACTATTTTATATTACAAATTAAGGGCTTTGCAATGCAATACAAACAGAAAGATTTGATTGTCTGAAAACTGAAAAAGCTGACTGTGACCTTTGTACAACCGCACCTAAAAATTAGTACAAAAACCACGTACGTCTTCTGGGATGTTGTCTCGTAGAAATTATTGGACGTTTCAGAGGTGCTTACTGCCTCCATCATTAAGAAAAAAGGCGGTAAGTACGTCTGAAATGCCACTCAGTTTCTACGACGCAACGTACAGAAGACATTAGTCTTCATCCTCACCGCCGCGAGATTTCATTTCAATGAACAAATAACAAAAGATAAAAATAGTTTTCTGCAACAAAGAGGATATAACATGTCACATACTAATTGACGTCTGTCATGTCCTTATTACACATGTTAATCAACCACGTCGGTAGATAAACAAACCTGAAATATCTGCTACGCTTCGACAGAATCACTCTGTGGACTCGAAAGACGCCGCCGTCCTCCAACCTCAACACCGCGTCACAAAAGAGGTTCTCCTCTCTCAACTCGTTCAGATAGACCAATGTTTCGGTGCACGTGCACTTGTCGTCAAGATGATAACAGCTGCAATGTTCGTTTAACTCCATCTCCTGAAAAACAGTCCAGGTTTTTCTTCATACTGACACGTGTGCACATCAACTGAGAGGGACTGAGGAGAAACACGGTATTGAGAAGAATATCTGGTCCTGAGAGAGATTTACTAACAAGGGAATGGCGAAAATTGCATAAAATGCAGCTTTATAGTTCTATTCACTAAATAATAAATTGTAGGCTGTCAGATAAAGGGTGGTGAGATCGGCGGGGCATGTAGTACACATGGCAGAGAAAAGAAAAGCGATATTTTAATCGGAAAACCTGAAAGGAAGAGGCCACTTGATAGTCCTATGTATTGCTCGGATATTATTAAAATGGATCTTTGAGACGTGGGGAATGAAGATGTGGCTTGAGGATATGGTTTAGAGGCGGGGTATTGTAAACACGGGAATGAAACTTCATGTTTCATACAATGCGAGACATTTGATTACGTGGGATACTGTTAGATTCTCAAGCAGGGCTTCGGCTCCATGGACTCAGTTTGTTTCTTTGTTTTAGAAATGCCTGTTGAGATCCAACACAAAATGCCAAAGCTTTAAATGTGACTAATCTAACTAACCACCTAGATGGCTTACCGAACCCAAAGGTTCATCACCAAACTAACCAAAGCCCTCCATCAGACCCTGTCCTGGGCCAACAAAATCCAGTCTCCTTCAACTCCTATCTCCCATAGATCGCGTCTCAGATTATTCTCCCATCTACGTCTAGGTCTCCCCAGTGGTCTCTTCCCCTCAGGCTTCCCAAATAGTGGACCCAACCAACCAGATGGATTACGGAACCCGAAGGTTCATCACCGAATTAACCAAAGCCCTCCACCGGACCCTGTCCTGGGCCAACAAAATCCAGTCTCCTTCAACTCCTATCTCCCATAGATCCCGCCTGAGAGTATCCTCCCATCTACGTCTAGGTCTCCCCAGCGGTCTCTTCCCCTCAGGCTTCCCAAATAGTGGACCCAACCAACCAGATGGCTTACGGAACCCGAAGGTTCATCACCGAA